GGTGGGCTTTTACTTTGTTGCCTTACCCTTCTCTATACACATGACTTTCTTTTGTCACTCGGACTTCTGCCAGACTGATTTGGTGGCATCTGCTGTGTGCTTGCGTGGGAGGATGAGCAGTGAGTTATCGGGTTATCCACTGACTTCTTTTGTTTGTTTGTTTGTTTTTTGACCATGAGAAACTGGGTATTTTTGCAAAAAGAGTTAAATCCTGGAATAAAGAGGGGAAAAAACCCAAAACAAACAAACAAAAAAACCCACAACAAACCTCAAAGATTCTCCTTACTCCATGTCTTTCCCTTTATTTCTCTGGCCATCAAGCAGCGATTTGTGAACAAACTTCCATGCAGACACCTCGGCATCCACGTCCTGCCATGACCTCACCCCATTGTCAAAGCACCACGGTCTCAAAATGTAAAATATCCTACTATGGGAAATGTGACGCTACAATCAGTATTATAATTGCAGTGAAGTAAACTGCAGAAGAACAAGTTTCATGTCAGTGGAAGCAGAAAAGCTAGTAAATGGATTCCTTTTTAGATGAATCTTCTATGGATCAGCAGGTTTATTCAGAGTTACTTAAAAAGCAGTTAACATTCCATTAGCAACAAACTGTAATCTGTGTCAGCAGTAAAGCACTGTTCAGTCATTTATTTTAGAATGAGCAGTCACTGCAGGGAGAAATAAAATTATTAAACGTCTTAGAAGCAAATAAATAGTAAGGCAAAGCCAGGGATTTTCTTTCTTATTCTAAATATTAAGCCTTCTTCCTGGGAATATTTATTAATATAGAATGCGTTTTTGGTGGGATTTTTTTTGGTCTCCCCCCTCCCCCGATGTTTGCTATATGAAGGATGAGTCAGAAAATTCCATTTCTTCAGATAGTTTGGGTTTGTGATTAAAGAGAGGGGGGGAAAAAAAGGAAAGGTATGCTCAGATCTGCTGCTTGCCATGTTATTTAAGTAGGAACATTGTTGGTTCAGCATTGTGTCCTCTGTTAACCTGGCTTCAGTCCCAAAGAGCTGTCTTAAAAATAATACCCTTCCTTGCAGCTAGCAGGAGAAATGTATATGGCCCCATGCCCCAGTAGGCTCTTTACCGGATCATTATTACTTTCTGTGTCTTTATCTCCCAATTCTCCTGACTGAGACAAAATCTGCACTGACGTAAGAGCTAATGTTAGGATCTTATTCTTGAAGGGCAAGTTTGATACTCTAAAACCATTTTATAGCTAGTGAGATCAGGTACAAAAAAAATCTTGAGTGTCATTGATACCACAGCTAACCAGACGTGAGTAAAACAAGCAATCTTGAAATCTTCTGAGTTATGCTGCAGCAAAACCCATTCCAAGCTGAGCTGCCAAATGCAGGTATCCTAAAAACATTTCCACATTATCCTTGTGTCATTCTCCCATGTGGTATTGTGCCAAATAAAGCTTAGCCAAACATCAAACAATTAAAAGTTTGATTGCCCTTGTGTCGTTTTGAAGCTAGGGCTCTGGCTGCACAGTCCTGCAAACCCCAGGGCAGAGCGTACTCACTCTTGGATGTGTCACACAAAACAAGGAGCTCACTAGTTGCAAAAGCTGCATGGTATTTTAGTAAGAAATTTAAATGTAGGTCCCCATTCCCAAAGAAACCAGTTCTACATTGCACAGTAATGTTTCTTCACAAGGTTTACATTTTTTTTTAATTACTTTGGAAGATGAAGCATCCTGAAGAGACACAAAGAGACTAGGGAGGAACAAATATAAATAAGCAGGTGGTGACCACACTGGCTAGCCAACCAGTGTTTCTTGTAAGCCACTAACAAGCAGATGCACAGCTGACTCGTGAGTCATGTAAGACTATGATTAAGACATTGGCTTTGACAAACTGCTTTTATTTTCTGATTTTGATATTTATATATATATAAATGTATAAGTGGGGTCAATACAAGTCATTTTAGATCTCTAAGCTCTTAATTTCTATTTGTTAATTTTGAAATTATTTACGGTAATAACTAATATCCCCCCATTTCCCTGCGATTCTGCTATACCTGCAAATAGATTAATGTGAAGGGAGGTACTTTTTTTTTTTTTTTTCTTCTCTCATCCTCTTCAGAAGAAAAGGATACTGAAGGATGCTCTACTGTGGAGAAACAGTTAATCTTTTCCCAATTCAGCTAGTGGCTGGTCTAGTGAAGCATGAGAGCAAAGAAAACATTGCAAGGACTTCTTCAAAAGCCACAACCTCGAGGCTGTGTACGTTCTCTCCCATTTTCTTGCAAAAAATATTATGAAAATAAGTAGTAACTTTGAATAAATTCTAAGCTAAATCACTAGGACTGCCTTTTTTTTAGTCCTGAGCCCTAACTGAAACAATTGTGTTCAGACCTATCCCCAGTAGTTAAACTCCTCTGCAGATCACATTTTTAAGGTGCAGGGTGATGGTGAGCAGCTTGCCCTGCTGTTCTGAAGCTCACAATTAATGGTGGGTCCAAAAGCTTTGGAGTTAATTCTCCAAGGTTAAACAACAAAAGCAGCATTTTATAATCTTTTCTCATGCCAGTTCTTTCCTTCCATGAGTTGAAACTCCCAAGATTTTCAATATGGCTCAGTAATTCTAGCAAAAAGGTGGGAGCAAGTAATGAATAATACTCATCATTCTGGAAATCTTCCAGTGCTGCTGCTTAACTGTTTTTTAAGAGATATACTTAGAATAAGCCTTGCATTACAATGAATACAGTCACATCGCTGATGGAAGGGCAAAGCTTCAAGCCAAGAGAGTAAAAAGGAATCTATTTTTAATAGACTTTTTTTCATAGTTAGTGTAATCCATAAATGCATGTGGATACTATGTAACATTGTGGCTGTTACAACTACAGGGACAAAATGGTCTTTATGTAAGCTACATTTGCAAGTACATTCTTAATATCAGAAAAATATTTTTACTTCTGTTTAAATGCTCTAAGAAATATGAAAATGCAATACATTATTAAAAATAGGTACCAAATCAACTGATGATGGCATATGTTGCATAACTCATGAGCAAGCTCAAAGACATTGAAAAAAAAAGAAAGGAATTTGGTCCAGAAATCATGGATTATGCTTTCCTTTTAAGATAGATAGATAAAGTAATTAAACTGTATCTTTGAAAACATCCCTCTGATATCATCTTATTGCATAACACTTGCCTATGGATTTTTAGAAAATGTTTGAATGTATGACTGAATTTTAATATCTCCTCCATGTAACAGCAAGTGCAGGCAAGCAAATTGTGAAATACAGTTTCTGGAGTGAGCACCATTTAATTGTCGAGTGATTCATTTTTATGCCACCTGTCAATCCATCTCTTTGAATTACAAAGTTTTGAGCATCTTGCAAACAGGTATCATTTTAAATAGGAAAGCAAAATTTTAAAAAAGTGAAACAGGGAGATCTTTTACAGAGGAAAGTTGTCACTGAAATTTTTCCTGAACACTAAGACCAATAATCAGCTGTGATACCATTGCATATTTCTGATCCATAAATTCTGATTTCTTACAGTCAGAGAAACACTTGCTTCATTTATATTTGCATATAGAGCCTTTCCATGCAATCTAGTTGCATTTTTTGTCCCAGTAGCATTTAAGATATTTAAATAGTTTCCTAATGTCTTTTAGATATATACCAGATATCACTGTTGACAATATCTTTCCCGTGTCGTGTACTGAATTTATAAGGCAGATTTTATTCTTCAGATTACCTGGTTTCCAACCAAAAAAGGGGTGCACTGCATTTAAAAGGAGATATTAAAAAGCACCGTTTCTGTTTTATATATTCCCAACATTTTCTGTAATAGCTTCTCTAAAATGTGTGGCATAAACAAAATTCTCAAGCACATTGCGGTAAAATGGTTTTATTGGTGCTCATTTACACTGACCTACATAGGTTGTTCTCAGGCTCCCCATTCCTGAGCAATGATGCTCATTCTGAATTTTTGCCAAGAAAGCACTTAATCTGTGCTAAGCCTTTTTTTTTTTTTGTTAAAGTACATTCCAACATCAAAATAAAGGCACAAATACAATTTGCACTCTATTAGTAAAATCAGGAAACACATCTCAATGAAGAACAAAGGTAGGGGCTACACATCCAGTGATCTGACAAAGCATGGCTGCATAGATCTGATTTTCTACACTACATCAAGGACAAAGAAAGTCTGAACATCCATCTAAAGTCACCTGTGAATGGGAAGAATGGAAATGGAAGCACAATATGAGTGGCATTTCTGTTTTAGTAAAAAGTAAAATCTGCCTCAGATTGCTCACTGACTTTGCATAGACTTCTATATCTCTAAAATTCAGTCAATACAAAAATAGTGAGGGAGGAAGCTTTATTTTTATTCTTTCTTATGTATAATTATCTAAGATTCTGAAGTGTTATGGGGTGAATAAATAAGGATTCTTATTTTAGACAAAGCGAGATGACAAAACTAATAAAATTTGCCAAAGCAAGAGAATCCGAAAGGCATTCGAACTCTGGGCATATGACATGTCAACATGTTTCACCTTAGGAACACCAAGCAAACTTTGGGAAAGCATTTTATAGTCAATGATCAGGGATTGGTTTGCTAGCTTGGTATGCATGAGTGTAAGGCATGGAATCATACAGAATGTTCATTAAGGCTTCCATTATCAAATTAATGTCCCTTAGAAAGAAAAGCATTAGTTTGAATTCCCCAGTTTTGAAGTACATTTTTTCAACTCAAATTTTCTTCTCATTAAAACTTGCTGATATCTGTATGATGTACATAAAACTGTCAGGTAAGTATCTAAAATCCCTCATAGAAAAATAAGGGTATTATTAGACCTCAAGCACTCTGAATCTTCCATATAGAGCTTACGATCGATCAATGCATACCATATCTGCTAGAAAAAAAAAAAACACCAACAAAAATCCAGTTTTTATTGAAAGAATTTATTTGACAAAAGTGTCTACCTCACACTGTCCCACACCAAAAAATAACTGATTGTAACTTTCTCTATTTGGTCCTCAGGACCAAAGGTGCCCCCTTGATTGGTGAGGATGCTCCAGTGGTTGTAAGTTTCAGATTTTCACGTAAAAAATTGCGCTGTCGAACTGTAACTGATCTTATGTAACTGCTGGTAGAAACCACTTTTGCTTGCCTTGTAGGTGGGATGGTCCGTGGAGGCAGTCCATTGACTTCATACATCCACTGCATTGATTGTGTCTGAAAATAATGAACAGAGGCATAGAAAAAAAGAAAATCAGTGATCAAATACCTTGAGACTTTCTGATAGTGATTTACTATGCTACATTGATTTCAAAAGATATTTAACCTTTTCCATGTAAGGTAATGCAGTAACACAGAATGAGGATTGCATTCCTTGAACAGAGAGAGGTGAAACCATATTTAACTTCATGAATTCAGGACCAGGCATAAGAAATCTGAGAAATTTATCATCCTATCTGATCTGAAATTTCTTTTTTATTTAGTAAACCCCATAGCTCTGTATGTTGTTCAAAGGTAATTATTCCATAGTGAAATACAAATGCCTCAGGTTTATACTGTGGGATTTAATTGCAGCTCTAGAATTGGTAAGAATGATATTATCAGAAGGTGGATTTTTTTTTTTTTTGCATTAAAATAATGAACAAAACTAAGAGGAAAGAATTCTTGAGTATGCACAAGTGAACTGCAGCTTAATGTTGAAATCTCCAGTTTGAAGAATATTTATGTGAATTGAAAATGACACACTTCATTTGTTTTCTGTTTGTAACTGGTCTCTAGGAATGGAGCATATGTTTCTATGTCATGTCTTGTAATGCTGGAGTACTTGATTCTTACTGAGTACGTGATTCTTATTCTCACTGCACATCCCATCCATCTGCATTTAAGGAGTGTTATTTCTATGCATATGAAAGCTATACTGTTGTCTAACTCCATTGTTTTATTCCTGTTCTGAAGCAGAATTTGCATTGCTAAAACTCATGATCTTTCAGTCATTTTTCTTTCAAAATTTATCACTTTAATTCTTGAAAGCAGGTCTTATACCAAGTCTTCAGCATTATCCTCCTGGTCATTACATCTAGGAAAAGGTCTATTTATGGTTCTTTAGTTTACTGTTCTCATTTTCTCTTAAAAAAACCCACAAACAGCAACAACAACAAAAAAATAACTCCCCAAATATTTCAAGTGATGTGTCATTATGTCCAAATTTGTACTATGCAGAAGAAAGACAAAGCGTTGCACGCTCACTTTAGATGTGTACTGTCATCTATTCCTTTGCACTTAGCAACTGGGAATCCCTATTGTTTCCAAGGCACTTGTAGGGAACACTAAATGAAAAATATGGGATGATACAAGTTTGTTAAAATATATGAATTCCAACTGACTTTTTTATATATACAGAACATGGAATATAGCACACGTACACAGTACATACGTACACAGAATGCATCAGACTATGACTTGGCAGCCTCAAAACAGTGGAGTCACATTAAATAAATGATATTTCTGAATTCACAAGACATGCCTTTCCACATTTGGCTCAGCTCTGCAATCACACACAGCCATGCTGCTTGTGTTTCTAGAGTAGTTTTTTGCTGCTGGGCTTTTGCATCATGCTGCGTTGTACTACAGACACAAGGCTTGTGGGATCACCTTTCTCTTTCTCCAAATCAGTAAGATTTATCATTGCAACAACATTTGTGATTAATGTAATTCACCTCCCCATTAAAACTAACTTAATGCTTAGAACAACCACACCTAGATATAACCATTCACGTAACACCAATGTAGTTTTTCACCCAAAGAAACAAAAGGTCAGAAAAGCTGCGTATGGTCTCAAATCATGTTGGGAATCAGTGCAACAGTCAACCTCAGAGCTCAAGAATTATTCCCTCAAGCGCTTAGTTAACAGTCTGGCTTCCAGCGTGGCTGGCTTTGTGGTCCATTTGCTCATTCCAGTTCGAGAGCTTTGTTTCTGCCTGGCTGCTGGGCGTGCCCACTGGCCAGACAGATTCAGAGAGAAGGAATACATACAAATCACGACAAATTTTCACACAGAATAAATGCCATCAACCATCTCCAGAGCACAGCGTGTATATTTGTCTAGTTATTTATTGTATTCTGTAAATTAATTATGGTCTAGGTAAAGCATTACATAGGCTATAGGGAAAAGCAGTCAACCTTCTCCATCTCAAACTTTCGCTACAGCCACCCAATATCTATAACAACATACAGAAGAAAATAAAAAGGATGTCAGAGTGGCTCTCCAACTGTATTAAGTTGTGTTAAATAACAATTTCATATTTATCACTGAAAAAGTTTGAACCAACAATCTTTACCTTTTTAGTCTTTCATATGCTCCTTGCTATTGTTCTAATCGTTACCCTATCATTACTAAAGGATATTTAAGGGATACGATTGCAAGCAGTTTGGCATTCATGTTGCAGCTGTTCAACAGGAAGGAGTTTCAGACCACTGAACTGTAAACCCTTTGGCACAGGCTTTGTTCCCTCCTATGTACTTACACTATTTCACATATAAGCTGCACACACTTACAGTCCATAAATGTCATCACTAGATGAATCCCAAATTGTGGTGCTTCTTGTTAGACAACTGTTTTTAAGCCCTATTTTGATAACTGAATTTATATTTTTCTGTCCTAATGTTGAAAATATAGGGGGCCTTTTTTCTGTGTATTTTTAAAGAAACATTTTTTCAAATCTCTACTTTAACATTGGCAGTACTGATTTTACATAGTGTCTTCTGAATGAATTGCCTTATTCAAATAAGATTAGTAAGCGTAAGATCTTAATAGATATTTCACCATGCATGCATAATTTTTTTTAACTTTCATTACTATTCTGCTAAAATCAAAATCTAATTTAAATTGAATATTATTCCTGTGTAAAACAGGCAGATTAACTCATCCTTATGCTCCAACTTATTTAATAGTGTGAAATGATCCAGTAACTCCACTGCCTGTTAAGACAAAATCTAGCAAAAGCAGGTGTGACATGGACCAAGATCTGTATCCTATGTCCAAAGATAAAGTTGTCATTGAAGAAAAGTAAATGTCTCTCCAAAGTTCGGTAGGTTTTTTTATTAACTTCAGTACAAGTTCAGTGCTTTATCTTTCTTTAATATGCCAGATGAACAAATTAGTTTAAAGAAAATTTAACCTCAGGGTAATATTCACTGTGTACAAGTCTCATTGATCACTTCAAGGTCAGAGAAAAGACCTGATAGGTGTTTCAGCCAATGGTTTCAACTGAGTTTTAAGTTATTAAAAATAATTTCTGTTCATAAAATCCACACATATTGTAACTTTACTCTCCATAGTGTTTTTAACTGCTTGAACTGGGATTTAAACAAAAATGGTGGGCTATCCCACCTCTCAATCTCATTTATCATCAGCATCAAATAATAGATACAGACTTCTGGGTAGTAATAACCTTCTGCTAATATCATATTTGCTATACAAATATCCTAGATTGTGTGTTTTGTGAAAAAAAACTTTGTGGCTGGATTTGGTAAAAAGGCTGCTTATTCCGTTGTTGCTGTAGCCTGCGTCAGGTGTGGTTCGATGGCAGGAGA